TAATTACCTAATTATGACAGAGGGATGTGATATTGCGATATCTCTTCTTTTTCTCTTTAGCTTATGACTTCCGCACTCGGAATCGATATAGACTAGTAACATAAACGGTTTCGCAAATCGCGAGAGGATAATCAGAGATAATAGAAACAATGACCGTTAGTTTCAACAGAAACTTTCAAAAATTTTTACGTCCACACTTGGCGGCTTCTTTAACGCAACTGATATTAAGGTACATTCGAACAAAAAATACAAGTCTGATTGTTTTTTTTTATCAAATAAATAATAAATCTGAAACGCGGAGTTATATGACCTTTACGAAATCAAGCCGACAATTTAGTCGATCTCGCTGCAGCTAGAAATGTGACCTCTTATTTAATAATTAATGTAATTAATACTAATAAATATAAGATCCAAACCATGTCTACGATTAGTCATCTCCTCAGCCAGAACTCGAACCTGAAATCTTCCTAATCTTTCCGAGAAAAGAGGTTTTACCATTGAGTACTGAGGTTTAATTTAATAAAATATTAGTTGTAGGTTATATTAAGTAATTATTGATTAACAAGAGATTGCATTTTCAGCTGTAGCATGAACCTCGTAAGGTGATTAGATGAAGTAAATTATTGACGTATAGTTCGCGTGCATTGCGTGTGTTTTTGTGTGTGACGCGAATTGTCTAAAAAAACTCACTTTATATCGGACTACCGCAAAAAGTCCATCTGTATGTGTTTGTCCGAGATTTATAATTTAATTACACGTAATGAAAACGATAATACTGGCGATGTAGATTTGTAAGAGATGTAAATCCACGACAATTATAACCGGTCTGATTATGAACAATTAATTAATAATCTAACGCCACAGTGAGCCTGCCTTAAATAATTACAATGCGGCGTATGATCTAACTACAAATTGGACGACAAATTCAAACGCGCGTGGCAATATTTGTAAAATATCTCGTATAAACACTCGTTACTTTTGACAATGCAATTATCCATACACTCTCGGGCGACAAATAAATAAGTGCAGGATGGCGAGAGTTCTGTTTTCATGAAAAACACGCGTGTATTATCGCGTAATGCAGACGTAGCCCATTCGTATATGCGGTCCTTTTGTCCACAGGCGCGTCACAGAAAGATTGCAATTATTAAATTACAAATCGCCGCGCGTTCACCGCGCATAATGCGTCCGCGCCTCCATCCCGTATTAATTAAACAAATTGGTAGCGTAACGCGCGCGTTTTCTGTGTTCTTCCATCGCTTTTGCACGCGAGCTCGTTTCCATTATGCCCGCTCAATTGTCACAATAAACTCGCCAGACGTGACGTCAGCGCAGTCGCAAGTGTTCACCACGAGTGTTTACGCAACTGTGGGAAGTGCAATATTTGCAACAACGCACCTCTATGCGCCACTTCGCTGCACTCCGATGCAGCAACGAAGTGGTTTCTATTAAAACTGGGACAAATAGATATTGCAAAAAAAAAAAACGAAAATGAAAGTTAATTTTTTACAAGTATACAAACAACACATTTTCATCTAAAATAACAAAAATAATGTTATTATTGATTTTAGGATATTTGTAAAAAATAAAAGATATTTGTATTTTGTATCAATTAATTTGAAAAAAATTTAAAAATCTATTTGTCATTTATTTATACTAGATTTAAATAACGTTATTATTATTATCATTTATTACCGTCATTACTATAAAATCCGATTTACAATAATGATGAAGAAAGGGAATTAATATTTTGTACAAACTTGAGATACTCGTAATGTTCACGGTAAGGATGGCGATTCCAGTGGGTCTCGTCCCACAGCGGCTCCGTAAAAGGCAGGATCCGGGTTTGATACCTACTTCCATTCCTCATACATGTCATATCTGGTAGACTTGGTAGATTGATCGGTAGATTGATTGAATTTTGAAGAATAAATAAAATGTGCGTGTTTTAAGTTAATCTTTAGAAAAATTTACACAACTCGATTGACCTCGATTGAAAAAATGTTTTTTCTTATAGCATACATTGTATTGTATATAAAAATAGATATATAATAAATGAGAAATGTTTGATGTTCTTTGTCATGTTCACTATTCAGGAATATTTTATCCAATGCCAGTATCTACAATTGTCAGTTTCTGAACGGAAAATATGTAGTTACATTCTCAGATGTTTCTTAATAAATTTATTTATTTACTGCTATCTCTTGTGAAGTTTTCTATACACTTTAATTTTAAATATCTTCAAAACTATAAGAGAGTATTGACTGTTAAAAGAATACTTTACTCAGAAATAAACATTCAATGTATATCTTTGATATATAACATTATATCAAAGTACCTATTAAGTTTATATACCATATATTAAGTTGTGTAAGTTTTTATAAAAATTTGTTTGTTGTAACATGTTTTTAGATTTGAGTAAGTTAAGTTTTTTAAACTAAATTAAGTTAAAATTAATTGATTTTAAATTTCATTTAGTTATGTTAAAAGTTATATGAATAAAAAATTAACTCAATTAAAGTTATATTAAGATTAAATTAATTCAAATTAATTTTAAAAAGCATTATTTATATTAATTCATAATTATTCATATTAATCCTTGATACATGATGACTTTTCGACTTTTCGACTTTTCGGCTTACTGATTTTCCGAAATTCTTTTATTACACATGATAAATTGTTCGAGTTCCGGCTTAATTTTCACCATTTTTATAAGTATATAAAAATTATTAAGTGCTTTTTACATATTTAATATCTTTAGAAGTTATTTGTAAGTAAAGGGAGTATTTATGAGGTTGTATTCTATAAACTAAATAATCTGATCTATATTAAATATATAAATTGTATATATTAAAAATATTATATTAATTTTTATATTATAATATTTAATATAATATTTAATTATATATTTTAAATATGTACAATTTATATATTCATTATATTTATTCATGTGATGGTTTATTCAAGTATGACTTGTTCAAATCAATATAATTTGTACAATTAATATCGTTAATATCATTTTTAATTCTCTAATGTTAAAGATTTTATAGAAAAAAATATTTGCATTTAGACAGATAAAAAATTGTTTAATTTAGGAAAAAATTAATAAATTAATCTATATGCATTAAAAATAACTAGTTGATGTTAAAAATTAACTGATTTGAAATTAACTAAATTAAATTAAACTTAAGTTATTAATAATTTAAAAGAAAAAGTGATTCCGACGTTATGTACTGAATTGTGTTTCGAGACCGACGAATATGCGGCGCGCAGTTTACGAGTGGTTGGATATTGTAAACAAATTATTACACATTCACACCGCGTTGGATCACATAGACCTCTTAATATATTTGATTTATGTTATTAATTTTTAACTAGTTAATTTTTATAACGTTAGACGTTACTCGATAAAATAAACCGTAATCGAGGGGTCAACTACTTATACTAAAATATGTACAGTGATTGCCAATTATGACAATACAATACACTTTACTGATAGTATTGCTATTGTATTGCTTTCGTATTGTCAGTAATATTGCCATCTATTATCTCATGTACTGCCACCTATTGCACAATATTGCCAAATATTGCTAATATATTGTTAGGTATTGTTCGAGGTATTGCTATGTATTGATAGCGTATTGCTAGTATTGTATTGCCGCAATACTAGCAATATATTCCAAAGAAATGTATACCGATTTCCATAGTGATTGACCTCTCGGGCGCAATGTAAAATTGCCATGATCACGGAGGCGGTCCTCCAGGATGGGTCTTCTCCGTTGCAATTTTAACTAGTTAACTAATTAACTAGTCAACTTTTCAATTTTTACATTTCAGAAACAATCAAACATATATAGAATGAATGAATAAAATAGTTTGATCACTTAGAGTATCTCAATTTCTTTGATGAATACGAGAAAATGTCAGAAGAAAACATTATTTGTTTGATAGAAACAAATATGTACAGAAAACACAGCTACATAGCTGTTTTTTAAAAACAAATTATGCAACTTATAATATGCAATTACACTTTTCTTTAAAGCAACTGTATGGTTTCTTTACAGTAATTGATTCATCTCATTATTCTGTGCATAAAAGTATAGAAGTACGGTATCAAAAATTAATGGTTAACGAGATATTTTATGATTTATTTCATAAAATAACATATCTTGTAAATTGATTTTAATTTTTTGATAATTCTTATATTTGTATAAGCTACATAACTAAAAGAATCATTGCGTATTAAAAATATTGTATCATTTTCTTTAAAAAAGTTACGATAATCTTGAAATCTCTAAAATATATGACTTTAAAAAAAACTGCTTATTATAACCCTCTAATAAATAATATTTTATCCTCTAATAATTAATACCTCTAATAATTAATATTTTCTCATGTCAAGAAATTATGAAAAACAAATAAGATATTTTAGGACATTTTAGGTGATCACGTTAAGTTGTCCATCCTCTGAATATGTATATCTTGATGCTTAATATTTTATAAGTGAATTTTATAAGTTCAAGCAAACTGCGCGCCGAATATTTATCGATCTTGAAACAGCTATAGATTGAATCCGGAGTATGTAATATCACTATATCACAAACTAAATTGAACAATTTTAATAGTATAGATTGAATTCGAAATTCTGGCTATATAATATTTTTTGCAATAAGTTATGTTATGCGAAAAAAGTTATGCTTTAAAAGATGCTAATGGACATTTTTTAAATCCTGTAATATAAAATATAAACATCCTCTCACATTTTTTAATTATAATTCTTTAATAATTGTTAGTATAAATTTTCAGATTTCAGATTCAGTCTACAGCTGTGTCTCAAAACCAATAAATATTTGGCGCAGTTTGCTTAAATTGGACATTAACCTCATTATATAATAAAGCTTACTATATAATGGAGTTAAGTTTAAAAAATAATATACCTATTCTAATCCTAATAGTATATATTTTAATAATTACATATGTAATAAAAAATAATACGTTACCGGCTCGGAGAGCATCCATGGGGACACTTGGATACGGAATGCTATAAGGGTAGCCCTCTTTCCGCAAAGTCTTGGGTTTCCTTCGCGGTCTGTACTTGTAATCGGGATGTTCCTTCATATGTTGTGCACGTAATCTCTTCGCCTGGTCGATGAACGGGCGTTTCTCATCCTCCGTAAGGAGCTTCCATTCTGCGCCTATGATAAGTTTACGTACACTAATATTAATTTCAGTAAGGGACACTTTCACCAAATCTTCGGTTCATTAAAGTATTACCAGTTCTGTGTCATATTGTTAACCGTCGGTTAACTTAACCAAAGATTGAAAGTGAACCTAATAACACCCCCAAAAAAATTCTATCCTTTAGCGGTACCCTCTTGATGCTAAAAGATTTTTCTCTTATATACGTCTTAAAAAGATATTCTAAAATACAGAGGAATATGGAATTACTATGAGTATATATTCTAAAATGTAGAGAAATATCGAATTACTATGAGAATTTATTCTTGATTTTAGCGCATGGTTCACTTCTTTATAGATAAATACGCGTTATAGCTGAGGAATATGCTTCATGTAAAATTTTTTTGCTTAGAGGAAATGCTTAAAGGAATTTCCCGCTTATAAGTAGAGCACTTTTTTTTGGGTGAATATCTATTTCTACTAATGTAGATTAACTTTAATTTCAACTTATTTTTATTATTTTTTAGTTCTACTTTAATTTCAGTTTAATTTATTTTTATTATTTTCTAGTTCTACGAATCAAAAAAAGATAAGAAATAAGTTGAATCGAGAACAAAATTAATTTAAAAGCGCCTTCTACAGCCACGGCTGGATCTTGGTGCCTAATAAATACTATAATGAATTTAAAATCCATTATTCAGCCATTTCAATTGCGCACCGAATCATTGTTGGACTTGCAACGCAATCATTAGCTGCAGGATAGTGAGATTATTATTGATCTTCAATTCTTAATAACTCGATGCTTATAAGCATTTTAAAATACTGTAAAGAACTTATTACGAAAAATATTACCTTCTAAAGTTTCAGCTTCAGCTAATGATTGCGTTGCAAGTTCGACATTGATTCGGCGTGCAATTTTAAATGGCTAAATAATGAATTTAAAATTCATTATTTAGCCATTTAATTAATTCATATAGTATTTATTAGGCATCAACATCCAGCCGTGGCCGTAGAAGGCGCTTTCAAATTTAGTTGTATTTTTACATAGGTGGTCTAGTTGAAATTATTAAAATTAACCTATTGGAATTTTACTTCGACTGCGAATTTGCGTCATGATAAAACAACTGTCTGCACTATGGATCAGCTCTCTTCCTTTGCGATTGATGGTTTTCCGGATTAAAAACCTTATCGTATCCGAGTACTCATTTCAGTTTATATAAATTGTTTTACTTTTAATAATAAACTTTTATTATAATAACTAACTTTTAACAACTTTGAGTCTCTAGGAAACAAGGATATAAAAAAGATTAGAAAACAATACAATATCTGGAAGAAATAATAAGTAAAAATTGAATTGATTAGAAGAAACAAATAAATAAGTAAATAAATAAATAAAAAGGTAAAAGGTGAATAAGAATTATAAGTGTGTAATTAATGAAGTCAGAGCTTAAAATTGAATAAAGAATAAATATTAAATTGAAAAAATTATAAAACTAAAAGAACTATCTTAGATAGTAAGTAAATAATATATATATCCCCAAGACATATTCTAACGTGTACTTTGCACTGATGTACAAGTTTACTGGAATTATGTTCTGAGTTGATTGTAGACTGAATACATTCATTACAGTTATGTTGTGACACGGTTGACTGAATACGTATTCAGATTGGTATTCTTGTCGAACTCTGTTGTAACTCTGTGTAATTTCTGCTTTTACGATTTGCCACTTACAATGTAACACCAAAATGCTGCAGAAATAAAGCACATCTTTTTATCATAATATAAAGCCTATTTGTTTTCTGATTTATTTCTAACAATATTAGAAAAATAAATTGTGCTCGATTATTGCTAGATTTTTACTAATATAATATGCAACACATATTTGCAATACATATTCTTGGTAGGTTTGATTATCTGGGTTAATATAATATTTCTTTTTAATAGTCAAGTCTCTGACAGCACGCATATTCAAAATCACGTTTAAGATATTTTAAAGATGTCAGATGTTAAGACAGTTTTTAGATTGAGTGTTGAAATTAACATATTTTATTATTAAATGATAATGGCACTCTTATCCCTTATATGTGTTATCTCTGATGAATCATATAAGTTCACTAAGTTTCAAAGAGTCTAAAAAATAAACCTATATGATTCATCAGAGATAACACATATAAGGAGTTTTTAATATCTGACATCTTTAAAATATCTTATAAAGACAACATTTCGTTGTTATCTCATATAAACTTAATTTACAAATAAAATATTAAATTTATTTGATCATTTTTATTGTAATAGTTTTTTATTTAGAGTAATCTCATTTTAAGAAATTACGACATTCTAATTTAATATAAATGATGTTTTCCAAATTAACTTTTAATTTAACTTTAATTAATTTAATTTTAACGCAACTTTTAACCGAGTTAGTTTTGATCATGCAACTTTTAACTTAACTAAATTAATTTTATAAGTCATTAAAACTTTAACTTAATTTAGTTAAAAAAAATATTAATTTACCCAATCCTGACTATCATTATACGATTAATTATTGATTTTTCGGTATACAGTTTACGTTTCACACGTTCGCACGCCATCGCGATTCGCGTTTAAACGTTTCTGGGATTTCATGGTGGGCTCTCATTGGACCGAGGGACGGAAGGGATAAATCGCGATTCGTTTTTAACCCCTTCGCCGTTCACTGCGTTTCCCTCCGCTACGCCGGCGGGCTTGATTGTTTTGCACAGAATTAATTACCACTTGTTGTCGGCCGCCGAGGCGCGCACAAAGCGCGAAGCCCCGGTTCCTGGCATTCTGGAAACGGAACCTAGCTGGTAGCTAGGTGCGACGCCGACCCCGACGCGACGCCGCGCGCCGAGACTGATGCAACGGCGCACAACGGGGCACAATGCGTTCGGGATTTGCACCGCGACGCTGCCAACAATGGCTGCTACGGTGAGACGTCGGTGTCGCGACACTGCGAAGCATCGCAGCTGTTCACTGAAGATTGATTTCGCTGAGAAATTGGGAGGATATTGCCATAAAAAGATCGAATGCGGAACCCGGAATATTTGATTTATTCCTTTTCATTTTTGTTTATTTAATTTATTAAACTCTAAATCTAGAATAAATCTTTCTCTTAGATTAGATCTTTTAAGTCTTGTTCGAAAAAGGCCAAAAACATAAAAACAATTAAATAAAATAAATACGAGAAGTATTGTGGTTCACCGCCATGGAGGATATCACATATGCGTAGCAACTTGAAAGATTTCATCGTAAATACGAGAAGTATCGATGTTAATAATGATGTTAATGATCTTCGAAATAAGGATATACAAAGAAGATTTGTTTTTATTGTTGTCCCTAAAACGAGAGATGGCTCAATTCGAAGTTTTAATCCAGGATTTTCAAGATAAACCGGTTGCGAAGTCGTCAAGAACGATTTTTTCATGCTCTCCAAGTTTCGTATGAGGACTTTAATATCTTTCGAGTCTTTCCTTTCCTTTTATGTAGCTTGGTTAGGATTACCGGACACGATAGAGAGTGAAAAAGTTGTCGGAAGAAAGGAGAGAAAGCAAAGTAATATTCTGAATGACCGACGGGAAGTTTCATTTGAGCTGGACAAAAATTTTTGATAAAAAATTCTGAGAAAGAGTAGGAAGAGAAAAAAAGAAATAAACAAATTTAAATAAAATTTTTCGAAAAGATTTGAATAATTTAAATTTAGGTCGAAAGGTCAACCACTACTAAAAAAAATGTACAGTGATTGCCAATTATGGCAATACAACACGCTTTATTGCTAGTATTGCTATTGTATTGCTTTCGCATTGTCAGTAATATTGCCATCTATTATCTCATGTACTGCCACCTATTACGTAATATTGTCAAGTATTGCTAATGTATTGCTAGATATTGTTATGCCTTGATAGCGTATTGCCAGTATTGTATACAATATATATTTCCGCAATACTAGCAATATATTCCTAAAAAAATGTACACCGATCCATAGTGGTTAATCCCTCAATAGAAATTGAAGGAATTAGGCTCGTAAGAATAAATGAAATATATATAGTAAAGAAATGCTTATGCTAGCTGACACGGATGTTGGTGTGTGTAACAATTTTAACATCCGTCCAAACTGCGTGCCGCAATTTATGTATGTCGATTTTGAAATACAGTTAATTCTTACGTGAAGTCGGAATCCACTTGTAACAAATAATAAATTGACGAATAATGTAATATCTTTTGATGCTAATATGCATCTATAAGAATTCCCTTCCCCCAAACGTGTAAAAAAATTTATTGCGAAAAATATCACCTTAGCCGGGAACTCGGATCTCCCTGCGTTATACCGGATGGATGTCTTATCATTCGACTAGCGAAGCATGTGGTGGTATTCTTTGCAATAACCACTATGTATGAACAATATATATGTAACAGTGTAATTAAATAATTTAAATGAGAACGTAATAGAGTCCAAACACACTTTTTAGAATTTGTTAAGATTAAGGAAATTGATAAGGTTATTAATTTTGATTACAGTAGGAATGCAATTGAATTGATGGCTTGACTAAGAGTGAAGAAAATAGGAAAGAAGCCATTCGATATGGAAAAGCTGTTGGCTCTTCTACTTGACAGTGAGATATCCAGATATCATGCTTGCTGTAAGTACATCCAGTTGATTTTTGAATTATTATAGCATCATACATTGCAAAAGAAAATCACCAAAAATAAAAAGCACTAAATACTATATGTACAACATGACAGTTATAGCAAATTCGAATGGACGCATAGTGTGCCCTCAGTGCACATTAATGCCATTGTACAGCGTTCTAATCTCAAAAGTGAAATATCTCGACCAATAAAATGCCCAATACGTTCACTCGTACAAAAAACTGAGATTTTAACATAAATTTTGACGGGCTTTAAAAAATAGAAAAACATTTTTTTTTCTTTAAACTATTGCATTGTTTAGAAGAATCGGCTACTTGGCATATAGAAATATATGAATTTTTGATTAAC